TCTCCTATCTGACGTTACTGACCCCAATGAGTACGACCCCCATGACCCACCCTGACAAGTACGACCCCTCCTGTCGAGGATTTCCTCGACCGATATTCACCCTTTCCTAACCCCCCCAAGCAGAGTCAACCCTGCGTTGCGCAGTTCTCAACGGCCACGTTGCGCAGTTTCGCCCGATTAGACACGTTCTCTCGCGCGAACATTCACACTCGCATGCTCGAGCCGTCTGTGTCTCCGCCCATACAGCGTGCGTTGAGGATCTCTCAACGTGCCGTTGCGAACTGCGCAACGCAGGGTTGACTCTGGTCCAACGGCCAGTCGGCGAAGGCGACCCACCTCGATCACAATGCTTCTCTGCTCGTCTTCATCTCTTTTGAATATCGCAATAAACTTCTCAGTGAAAGATTTCATTGTTAGTTTTAAGTGTTAGGTAACAATAGATTTCACTTGTCTTGAAAAGTGCCGCAGTTCAAAATCACCAAATTTCTTGCATCTTTCATTCCTTATTGTTAGTAGGCCTTCAATGTGGCCTCTGCCTCCGAGGATATTCGAAAAAATCACTCACATAAACAGCTGCTATATAGGCTCTGAACGCGGATCCAGAACTGAAGAGGTATCGTATGGACGCAGCAATAGCACACGCCGTCATGAAGCAAGAATAAATCACAAAATGGAGGAGGACCATCGGCATAAGCAGCCGAAGTACGACCAGGTTCTCTCTGGTTTGATACTTACAGCATAGGTTGTACAGCGCACTGCAATGGAAATTCTTAATAAATATAGATAAGATGGAGAATTGAAACTAACTATAGAGCTACAGAAAAACAGAACACTTTTTTTGACCTTTTTTATGCGTTCATATATGGGGGAACATATAGCGCTACTTAAAGATATAACAAGCAGCTGTTCTGATGAATTGGGAAACAAGGTGTTCAGCGTGGATCCCCTTTGTGATGTTCCGCTTTCATTAAGGTTTGAACAACGAGAGACGCCTTAATAGAAGACCTCCTTAAAATTCACCTAATAACAGGTAAAAGGCAAAGAGATGCTTCTCTATCTTTTGATAATCGAAGTGCACAGCATATGCACGGACATGGGGGAGCGGGCATGTTAAAGGAATCCTTCGCGGAAAATTCTTGCATTCTTTCTAACATGAATGTGTCAGTTGTGATCACTGGAAACAGCACACAAAGTTTCACGCATGAAGATTCGGTTTCCGAAGAGAAACAAACGTACAAAAACTACACTCTATGGACAATCGAAGGTAATTCGGGCGGAGCCAAAGGCGAGGCATGGGAAGAAGTTGGCCTCATTGAGCCGGCTACGTTACCAACGACGCAATGAAAGAATCGGAGTTAAAGCGTTGCGCGATTCCGGAGAGTAGAGACAAATCGATCGATAGAATAGGATGGAGTAGAAGTGTAGATGTGAATGCAATAAAGCAAAAGGTCAAAAAGAGTTCCTAGTTGCGAATCTAAATCATTGGAGGATTCTCCAAGAACCAAGTGGAAGCATTCCCGTCGCCAGCATTTGTGAAAGACGTCCGTGGGCACTTTGAACGCGTAGCAGCCCTTTCGATTTTTCGAATTTTTCTACCAAAACAAAAGCAATATTTCTGTTCTTTTCATTCTTATCGTGGATAATGAGTCTCAAGCCAGTGATTTATGGCTGAAATAGAATCATGATTTTTTTCCGTGAAGGATTCCTTGGAGGCGGTGATGCCTTTAGAGTGGTCTACCACACTATTTGAGCGCAAGACTGGAGTATGTAGAGTGATTTTGTGGTGGTTTTTTTTCTGTACGACTCAAAGATTGTCAACAAGGTAGTGAAGAGCTTATCTTGTTCTTAAATTTTTGTTTACATGCCGCGTCCAAAGCGGAATAGACCGGTTGGCGGATGAGCCGCCGCGAATGCTACAGATGGAAGTGAATAGAAAGAAGATTCCATTTGAACTGGATCCTGGCGCATCGCTGTCTACTATTGATGAGAAGACTACCGACCGCAGTTGCAGAAGGCGGAGGTGGCAGCATGGCAAACAATTTATCATAAGCGCTATCACGTTCCGCAAGCAAGTTCATTTACATATTGATGCTCGCCGCACAAGAGAGGCTTATGGAATAGTATTAGGTTGGCAAGAAAGTCCTGCGACACTTTTTCAATTTTTTGATTTCAATTCTATCTTTTTTGTTTACAACTCCTGACCGGTCATATTCTATCATGAGTGTCCACCACTTGTCTTCAACTCTCAGAAAATTTCCTGATGCGCCTTTTCCAAAACCCAGCGGAGTGCGGGTCAAGAAAGGAGGCGACCTCACTTCCGAGTTGGAGTTGATCGTCTAATTATTTCGTTATCAAGATGATGATTAAAGGTCCAGGATAGGTTGCAGGCCTTACATAGCTCGACCAGGGATTACGCTAAGAGAGGAAAGAATCTGCTACATACTCTAAACGCTACTCGCTATTACGGTCATGTTATCGCATGTCACCAAGAAATGAATATTGTCGCGGTAACTAGGGCTGCTTGACCTGACGCCGTCGGCAAGCTTCTGGATATTCCATCAGCCTGGCTCTATCCACACATGGTGCGCCTAAAACGAAGGATACTGTATAGGACCCAATATAGCTACCCTGTAATGGAGTGTAGGGACGCTGTGGCTTCTTATAAAAATATCAAAAGATCGGAAGCGCTGGTAAAGTGAAACACGTTGTAGCGGTGAACGACATGCCTGTTGTAACTATTGCAGATAGTGTTGGTCTTCGACACGAATCCATAGTTATGTAGACACTTGTACTAGACAGTGACTCGGAGTGTGGATTTACTAGTGGTCGAGGTTTTTCAAATTTTCTTGGATAACTACTTACTGCAGCACTTATATCCACCTCGTGGATTAAAGCCTCGAGAATGCTCTACCATTTGTTAGTCATAAATGTTACCTAATGGATTGTCAGAAAGAAGAAGTTTTAGAAAGATTGTACCGGCAGAATTTCTGCCAAACCTTAATTCAGTCTGTATCAGAGACCGATCACACCTTGTGAAACAAGATAGGAGCTGTCCAGATTAATTATGGGCCGCATTAAGAGTTGTGCACAATGAATCAGCATTCCCAATTGAAATCAAAAAAGAAACAGATGCCCAATGTGGACAATCAAAAAAGAAATAGTGCGTATCTTGGATAACAACAAGAGGTTGTTCCAAGATGGTTTGGGCAAGTGCACAATTGCACGAGCCGAGTTCAAATTTAAAAAAGTGATCCAGTGGTGCCCAAATTCTTTAGGGCGAGACCGGTACGTTTTGAATACTATAGAGACGACGATGGTGGTCAAGGTGTGGAGACGGGGGTCGTATGAAATCCACCTTGGGGGAGGGGGGTCGTAAAAAATTTTCAAAAAGTAGCAGATAGGGTTGACCGTGCAAGGAGTAGCTTCTGTGTTGTACATAATGGCGATACTTTTCTGTACCCAAGCCTGTCTCTACTGCGGGATGCACCTTACTAAAACCTATTCACCTTTTTTCTCTCCTCATGTTCACTATGTAGACCACTACAAACATGATCAGAATAACAGCTTCCATCACCACAATCAGATAGCTAGTCGATGTCACATCATCCATTGTAGTTGGTGTGGCTGCAGAGCAGTAGAATGTTGCATCACGGAAGCTGTACTTGTGCATACTATAGAGAGCGACCGACAGGGCAAAAATGACCTGAAAAGCACTGAAGGATGTTGGTGTTGGTGGTTTGAAAACTAGAATGGCCTCAAAAGTGCAAAGAATAATTATTTCTACCGATAGTGCAGCCATGAAATATCCGATTCTACCATCGCATTTTTCGTAGGTTCTCATTTGTCTCGAAGCGATCGCTCTTTCAGTAACCATTGCGAGATGAATGAAGGCATGGGATGTGAAAGATGTTGATGCCATCGATCTGAGTACAAAGCAGAACAGCGGTGGCACGAGCACGTCGCAAGGCTTTGCTGCACTGAGAATTTTGAAGAGATGAGTGACCTTAAAAGCGTTATCACACATTAATTTTATAAGGCACTCTAAGGAAAGGAGCAAGAAATTCTGTTGCATTCCTTATCCACATGGATGCGAAATGTGATCACCAATTGCAGCGTACAAAGATCAATGCATCAAAATTCAGTTTCCGTCAAAACAAGCCTTCGAAAATCCCACGTTCTGAACACAAACAGACACCTAGGCGGATCTAACAAGGAAGGTCTTTCCGAGCAAGCCGCGAAGAAGTTAAGATTAATAAAATTGAAGCGGATTCGTGTGTGCTGTGGGGACGCATG